TATAAAGAACTCATACAACTCAACACCAAAAAAAAAGACAAACCTGAATAAACACTTCTTCAAAGAGAACATATGAATGTCCTATAGACATATGAAAAGAAGTTCAATGTCACTAATCACAGGGAAATGCAAATTAAAACCATAATGAGACACTACCTCACACCTGTCAGAATGACTATTATCAATAAGTCAACAAATGACAAGTGTTGGCAGGAATGTGGAGAAAAGGGAACCCTTGTGTACTATTTGTGAGAATGCAGATTGGTACGGCCAGTGTGGAAAACAGTATGGAGGCTCATCAAAACATTAAAAATGGGACTGCCTTATGACCCAGCAATTCCAGTTCTGGGAAGAAACCCAAAACACTGATTCAAAAGAATATATGCACCCCTATGTTCATTGCTGCATTACTTACAATAACCAAGCTTTGGAAGCAACCCAAGTGCCCATCAATAAACAAGTAGATGAAAAAGCTGTAGTATATATGTACAATGAAATATTATTTGGCCATAAAAAAGAATAAAACCCTATCATTAGTGACAGCATAGAGTGACCTAGAGGGCTTTATGCTGAGTGAAATTAAGTCAGCAAAAAAGAGACAAATACCATATGTTTCACTTATATGTGGAATCTAAAGAATAAAATAAATGAGCAAATGAAACAGAACAAACTCATAGATACTAAGAACAGACTGATGGTTGCCAGAGGGGAGGGGTATTAAGCGGGTGGGTAAAAGCAATAAAGGAATTGAGGGGTAGAGATTTGTACTTACAAAATAACCATCAGCGTGTAAAGTACAGTATAGGGAATATGGTTAATAAAATTGTAATAACTATGTGTACTGGAAGTATTAGGGGGTGGGGGGGCACTTTGTAAAGTACATAATTGTCTAGCCACTAGGCTGGACACCTAAAACTAATACAAAACAATATTGAATGTAAACTGTAATTAAAAAATAAAATTTTAAAATATAAGTGAGACAAGCAGTAAACTGAAGGAAATATATATATAAAAAAATCTTATCCTTTCTCACTCCTTTAGCCTCTACTCCATCTACAAGTAAATGAACAGCCAAATAAAAAACCCAGACCACATGAAACAACTTTGACTACCTTCTGACAAATACCTTTGCTAAGAAAATATGCTAAGAAAGTCACAGAACTGATTATAAGAAGGAAAAGCATGAAGGAAATGAATGTAATTTAGATAGTAAACATCTGTGCTTCGTTCCCACCTGTGGACTCCTAAAGAGTACACCCTCTCTTTAACCTTCATCTTAAGCAAATATAAGGCAATGTAAACCAAGCCAGGTCCCTGAAGTCTTCCCGATAATATTTATTAGAATTTTCAAAAAGCCTTCTGGCACATTCATTTACATGATTGAATTTGAGGCATGCTGGAAACAGCAGAAGCCCACTCCCAAGCCTCCCTCATGACAAATCGCTCACTGTCCAGATGGCCTTATACGGCCAGACTTCCTATAAATCTGACCGTTCAGTGTATGCATTGCGTATGTGTTTTGGCTCTGAGTCACATTCCTCCGGTATGTTTCCTTGGGAGCTTTGAGTTCCGCTTTGAGGGCTGGCACAGACTTCTACTTGCTCTTATAAGAAAATGTCCAGGATTCTAAGTTGAAAATGTGCAAAATTCCTTCTTTAAGTACACAAACACTCCAAGTCTGGCCACTTTCCTGTAGTCCTGCCAGGTTTTCTCTGTCTGATACCTGATCAAGTAACTTTTCTTTTCTTTTTCTTTTTTTTTTAAGGGGGGATAACAACAACAAAAGAAATGAGAAGGAATACAGTACATCCACAGCTGAACATCTTACAAGACTTAACTAAACGACCTGCACAAATGATGCCCACGTAGACACACACATGCCTTATATAGCTCTGTAAACAGGGTTCAGTGGCCAGCTTAGTGAATTCCTCATTTCACCAGGAGGGAAAAATGCTCTCTAAAAAGCATTTGCTAGAAAAACACTTGCTTACAAGACAAAATTAGTGCGCCTTAACCATTTTGTACACAAATTCAAAGACCTTTTTCTCCCAATGCTGGATCTGCTGTCAATCAAAAGGGTTGGGATAAGTCAGAGTTGGACCAAGTTATAAGAAGCCACTATATCCTCTCTACCGCCCAGGCACACACAAACATTTGCTGAGTCATTTATAATAGTGCAAGAATTCAGATCCCCATGGCATGAGCTAGGGACTGACTGTCAGCCCTTCCTTTTGAATTTCCTGGCACTTATGATCCGTATCACAATATAAACATACTTTTGAGTCTGTGAATGTCTTGGGTGTTATGTCTCTCTCTCTCTCTCTCTTAATAACAATATTTTACTTTAAACCCTTCAAGAGTTTTGATCATACACCATATAATGCACAAGGTATTTTTCTACCCTGAGATTCTATGTTCTGTATATTTCAATATGCTTATTTTCTCTTAGCCATTATTGAAACCACCCATTTGGAGCTGTGATGGAAGTTTATGACTTGGAGGGACCATATGAATTTTATAGTAAAAAAAAAAAAGTACAATGTCATGGTATTTTTACCATCGCAGCAGAATGGTAATATATTTTTTATGTTTGTGGAGAAAGAAAAAATAAAGACTAAATAACAATAATAAGGTAGCAAGTCCCTGAAATTAATCTAATTAACCACCATTAAACCCTATGAAATAAAACATTCTCATTATTATCATCATTTTATAAACAGAAACTTGAGGATATGGCTCCTACTATTGACTTCCCTAAGATTTGTGAATGGCAGTCCCAAAAATACAACCCAAGTCAAACAAATGTAACCCAGCCCAGCAATGTATTGCCTCCATGAATGAAAGTCCTCACTCTGTTTCACAGGAAGCTGTTGATGGTGGCTCTCAGACTCTTTAGAAGTCTCAAAAATCCCCAGCCTTTCTCTCAGCTCCCTCATCCTGCAAGCTGAGAGAGCTCACCGCTGAGCCCACATCCCACCTTGGGTGAGGTTAGAACTTCATATCCCTACCCTTCCCCATTTACCACACCTTTCCAACTATTCGTGGTAGATGTAATTGGGGGTTTAGGTCTTGAAAGATTTCGCTGTGGCTTCCCACATATTTTGGACTTTTAAAATCATCCACAGGGGAAGAAGCAGTTGGGGGCCGAGTTGCCTTTAATACACATGTGGCTATTAACATAACTTGGAATGTTCCTTCTTTAAATAGGAACTTTCAGGCCTCTTCTCTTTGAGGAATGCTTGGAAAGAACATTAAATAACAATGATGAACATTCCTCCAGAGCTTCAGAGGCCCCCTTTGCTGGCCATTCACACTGTTGACACGCAACTACACTGTACAACATGTGGATTGCTTAACAAGGTAATTGTGCACAGATGATGCGGTCTCTGCTGAAGTTGGAGTGTTTTTTTTTTTTTTTTCTTGGCTATTTTTCAACAGAACGAATTGAAACTTTAAAAAAGATATATGAAAAAATATGGCTAGCGTACATGGGCTGTTTTCAACTTATAAAGCTACAGTGTTGTTTCTGAAAGTTTGTCTTTGCATCAGAAACAGATACGGGTATCTTAAACCAATAAAATGAAGCATCAACACATCATTGGTACCAGCACTGTCAAATGAAGTGGCATTACAATAGAAAATACTGGGATGGCGTTGGAATCACTCTCTTTACATAACATGGTGACTGGAGCTGTTAACAAACAAACAAACAAAAAACCCGACTAGACTATAGATGCCAAATGCAAGCACCGTTCATTAACTCAGTCCTTGGTGAAGCTAAGTAGCAAAATTAAGAAGTGGAGCTAGGCTTAGGCTTTGTTGGCCATATTTGAAAACTGTACACAAGTAGAGGGAATAAAAACTGTTCTTTCCTTGACCTGATCTCATCCCATTAGAATGCATGCGCCTTAGGTGATAAGAAGTTACAATCACTATTTATAGATGGGTGGAGAGTCACTAAAATCCATTATTCCCTGACACTCTTAATTCACAGCCAGGTAAATGGTGGACAATGTTCTTCCTATATAAACAGATATTTTACTGCAAAACAAACCAAGTATAATCCACATTTGGATATTATAGGTTTGGGTATAAGAAGCATCACTCCTTCAAAGGCCCACAATGGTATTTTCAACACAAGTAAACCCCAAGCTTTTTGCTGATGCGATCCTGATTCCTCTCTCTCCCCACTCCTGTGTTCTCACCCCAACATCCAGAGCCTCTACCTACCCAATACATAATCTGCTCTGACATAACAATCAGACCATTTCCTGGAAGTATTGATGCCCACTCATCTGCTTTCCCTCCCTACACCCCAATAATAAAAATACTACAAATTAAGAAAAAAAAACAAGGCCAGAGTGCTGGAAATCTCCCCCAGAAAGCTGCGCGCGCACACACATACTCAGACCTCTGGCTTTGTTCTTTCTTGTCTGGCAATGGGCATACAAACCATCATCCCAAGACCCTAAAGATCAAAGTCCTACTGTCCAGTATGGCAGTCAGGCTGCTTGGGGATTTCCACTTAAAAGCAACTAACTCCTCGTCTGATCTCTGAAGAGTTTCAAAGGCAGAAAGCCTCTGAAATTTAAAAAAAAAAAAAAAAAAAAAATCATTACAAGATTAATAAAGAGAAAAGAAACCCTTTCGAATTATTTTAAGAATCCCTGCTGTTAGCCTCTTTAGCAACCTACATCCTAAGAAGGATTTGTTAGGGGGCAGCACAGGCACAGCTGTTAGAAAGAGAAGTGAGTGGTATAAAAATAATAATAATAATAATTGCTGATGTGTTTTTAAACGCTATAAAGCAGGAGCGGCGCGAAGAAGCAAGGGGGAGAACATTCTAGTTGCTGCTGGAAACACTGAGCCTTTTTTTTTTTTTTTTTTTTTTTTTTTTGGAGAGCTGGAGTGTGCCAGCTTTTTCAGACGGGAGGAATGCTGAGTGTCAAGGGGTCAGGATCAATCCGGTGCGAGTTGATGAGGCAGGAAGGTGGGGAGGAATGCGAGGAATGTCCCTGTTTGTGTGGGACTCCATTCAGCCCATTGGCAAGCCGGGGCCGCCCGGAGCGTATAAAAAGCCGGGGCTGCCCGCCCCAGCCTCACACAACAACTCTTCCCCGCCGAGAGGAGGCAGCCAGAGCCACTGCAAGCACCGCAGGCGACCGACCTGCCTACCCACCGCCCGCCTCCAGCCCGACGGCAGCCGCCCGGCCGACACCTCCCTCCCGAGACACAGACAGCGACGACCGACCGCCCGCCCGGCGTCCAGGCCTCCGCCTCCGGCCCGCGCCCTCCTCGCCGACCGCTCCGACCCTCCGACCGTCTGTCCGCCCGCTGCGCTCCGACCGACCATGTCCTCCTCCGCCGGCCTGGGAACCATCCCTTTCGCCTTCGTGCTCCTGATCGCCCTCTGCAGCCGGGTAAGCGCCGGGAGAGCCCCGCGACCGGCCGGCCTGGCGGGGAGTCCCGGTGGGAAGGGGAAGAAGGGGAAGAGGAAGGGAAAAGGGATGGGGAAAGGGAAGAACGGGAGAGCGTGCGCCCGGCTGACCGCCTCTCTCCCCCATCAGCCCGCCTCCGGCCAGGACTGCAGCGGCCAGTGCCAGTGCCCGGCCCCGGCCCCGCGCTGCCCCGCCGGCGTCAGCCTGGTGCTGGACGGCTGCGGCTGCTGCCGCGTCTGCGCCAAGCAGCTGGGCGAGCTGTGCACCGAGCGCGACCCCTGCGACCCGCACAAGGGCCTCTTCTGTGACTTCGGCTCCCCGGCCAACCGCAAGATCGGCGTGTGCACCGGTGAGCCCTGCCGCACCCCGCCCAGGCCCCCCGAGAGGCCCCTAGATGCCACCACCGCCCACCACCGAGGTGCCGAGGTGCCGGTGCAGGGACACTTAGGGACCGGCCACCTCCTCCCTCACGCCCACCTTCCAGCCATTAAATAAGCCTCTGTCTGGAGTCCCTTCCTCTGGCTGTTTGCAGCCCCCCCTGCCTTCCTCCCCTCCTCAGTCCCCTAGCCCTGCTCCCAGCTGGCATGCCCAGCGCCCCTGCAGGACCAGGGACCTATGCCTGACCCCAGTAACAACCCCCCCCTTTTTTCCTTTTCTCTCCTTCAGCCAAAGATGGGGCCCCCTGCGTGTTCGGAGGGACGGTGTACAGGAGTGGAGAGTCCTTCCAGAGCAGCTGCAAATACCAGTGCACCTGCCTGGACGGGGCCGTGGGCTGCGTGCCCCTGTGCAGCATGGACGTGCGCCTGCCCAGCCCTGACTGCCCCTTCCCGCGAAGGGTCAAGCTGCCCGGGAAATGCTGTGAGGAGTGGGTGTGCGACCAGCCCAAGGACCACACCATGGTCGGCCCTGCCCTCGCCGGTGAGTTGTAGTGTCGCTATTCGCCATCCCCTACCCCCAGAGACGGAGTCCTAGCTCTGCCAAGGGAAGGGGGGCGGAAATGTCTTATCCTGGCATCTTACCTTGTGTTTGTGTGCTCTGCTCTCCCAGCCTACCGACTGGAAGACACGTTTGGCCCAGACCCAACTATGATCCGAGCCAACTGCCTGGTCCAGACCACAGAGTGGAGTGCCTGCTCCAAGACCTGTGGGATGGGCATCTCCACCCGGGTTACCAACGACAACGCCTTCTGCAGGCTGGAGAAGCAGAGCCGCCTCTGCATGGTCAGGCCTTGCGAAGTGGACCTGGAGGAGAACATTAAGGTAACCTGCTCTGCTCCTCTTGACTAATTTTCATGGGGTGATAGCAGATGGGACCACAGTTAGGTCTCCCACCACCCTTGTTGTTATAGGCCTGTCCTATTTCAAAAATATCTTAACCATTGTGCTGTTTTTGCTGGAATGGGATGTTGTGTAACAGGAACCACCAGCTTTTCCACTATAAAATCTTCCACAGTGGTGGTTAATTCAAGACATCCCAAGAGAGGCTATGCCTATTTTTGGAAAACTGGCAAATGAGACTCCAACTTCCTCTCCTCAAAATATAAACAGAGGGCAGACAACATAAGCCTAGAACACACAGAGGTTGGAGAAAGCCGCTCCCCTTGCAGAGTCATTGATTTTTCTCTCTTCCCTTGTCTTCCTTAGAAGGGCAAGAAGTGCATCCGTACCCCCAAAATCTCCAAGCCTGTCAAGTTTGAGATTTCTGGCTGCACCAGTGTGAAGACATACCGGGCCAAGTTCTGCGGGGTGTGCACGGATGGCCGATGCTGCACCCCGCACAGAACCACCACCCTTCCCGTGGAGTTCAAGTGTCCCGACGGCGAGGTCATGAAGAGGAGCATGATGTTCATCAAGACCTGCGCCTGCCACTACAACTGTCCCGGAGACAATGACATCTTCGAGTCGACCTACTACCGGAAGATGTACGGAGACATGGCCTAAAGCCAGAGAGAGTGAGAGACGTTAACTCATGTAGCTGTAACTTGAACTGATTTCACATCTCATTTTTTGTGTAAACATGATTTCAGTAGCACAAGTTATTTAAATCGGTTTTTGCTAACTGGGGAAAAGGAAAAATTCCCTCCGAATTCAAAAATATTGTGCCATGTGACGTTCAAAGAGTCTATCAACCCCAGACACTGGTTTGAAGAAAGTTAAGACTTGACAGTGGGACTACATTAGCACATAGCACCAGAATGTACACCGAGGTGTGGCTTTGGGGGCAGTGGGAGGGCTTGAAATCTTAAAAGTAGCAATGTGCCTGCTATCTGGAGTGTTATGGAGAAGGGAAACCTAAGCATGCTCCCTGACTTGCCCGTAGCTCCAGCCTGTAGCTGACAGCTAGGATGTGTGTTCTGCCATCATGAGTCTGAGTCAAGTTCTTCTGTAAGTCAGAACGGCAGATTCAGCTCTGACATTCTGATTCGATTGACAGCATTCAGGAATCAGAATCTTGTCTATTAGACTGGACAGCTTGTGGCAAGCTAATTTGCCTGTAACAAGCCAGATTTTTTTTTATTGATACTGTAAATATTGTGTATATATATATATTTGTACAGTTATCTAAGTTAATTTAAAGTTGTCTGTGCCTTTTTGTTTATGTTGTTAATGCTTTGATATTTGAAGTGTTAGCCTCAATTCTGAACACCATGAGTAAGACGTAACATTTGTCTGATAATTCAAAGCATGAAATGGATATTCAAATGGAAATTCTGCTCAGTTAGAGTGACAGTCCATCGAAACAGATTGTTTGCTGAAGGCGAGCCGGAGATGCCCTTGGAAGTCTTGACTTGTAGGCTGAAATGTGACAGCCTCACATGGAATGAACAAGTGGCTTTTATTGAAATAAGAGTGGCTCTGTATAGCGGATCAATTTTCCACCTGGAAGCATTTGTTTCTACTTTGACTATGACTGTTTTTTGGACAGTTGATTTGTTGAGAGTGTGACCAAAAGTTACATGTTTGCACCTTTCTAGTTGAAAATAAAGTATATATTTTTTCTATAAAGAGCTTGGCTATTCATTTCTTCTCTAATTTCTGAGTTTTCTTGCGTATAAATGGGAAGCTTTTATTTATCTTAAAACTATTCTATAATTTTCTAAATATCTTACATACTAATACATTGGTGAGTCACTTCAAAAGACTTTACATAAATGTGTTTTACAGTGAATCAAGTGTCAAACTTGAAGGAATATACACTATATTGAGAACATGGGCATTTTTTTTTTATCTTCCCAGTATTTCATAAACACAATTATCTTTAGATTACTTCAGTCTCCAGGAGCCCCTATTGTATTACTCCTATTTACATTTAATGCCTCTGGCTACGGTAAGCATTTAATTTCCAGCCCTTCCCAACACAGACAGTGCCTTGCACATAGAAAATGTTTAACTATTTTTTGAATTTTTATGCTCTAAGTATATCTATTTCTGAACTTTCATATCTTACTGTTAAGTCTGAAAAGTATAAAAATAAATCTGCATTAAAATGGAGCAATGTAATAAATCTCATTTTATAAAATTGCTTTTAGTTGCCATGATAATAAAAAATAAATGATGGCATAAGTAGAAAGGAAAGGATAAGCAAATCTTTGATTCATTAACATTAATAGAAATTTGTCTTAAAAGCAGCCCCTCCATTTCCCTAAGTTGGCTAATTCAGATCTCAAGAGTAATAGCTTACCTGATAGTTAAGTGACACGAAATTGTTCAAGAAGCTTGGTTTGGAAATTATGTATGGCCCATCCAGGCCTCTACTAAAAACAGTGAAGTAAGTGACAAACAGAAATACTGCAAGCACAACTAGAAGCTTTATTTTTTTTCCAGGTCAGAATAGCTGTAGATTCTAGTGGGGAGGGGGATTAGAAATAGTTGCAGACAGACTAACCCATCTCAGAGTAATTGGCAATGTTGTAGTGCCTGTGTCATTTCGAGAGACAAAAATACATCTGAAAATAAAGGCTATTTCTACAAACAGTGCTCATGCCACAAACCAAAGGGAAAACTTCCCATGTTCAAAATGTGAAAAGTATTTCTGGTCAAAACACTGGACTTTTAGGATACACCCACAAACTATATATGACAGCAATGCTGTCAGCATCTAAATCCCACTTCCCCAAGCAAATCCATAGGAGCGAGTGTGCGTGTGCAAACACACACACACACACACACACACACACACACACACACACACACAGAGTACATTGTATTTAGTTCACTTTTTCTTTCTGTCAATTGACTCCTAGCCGTGAAGATGAAGGACCATGGTAAGTGAGCAATACTGTTTTCAAATGATTTGAGAATTCTGGGAAGATATAAGCAGAAATAGGAGTATAGATTTTAGATTTTTTCCAAATCTCCACATATAAAATAGAGTAACTAGATTGCAAAATCATAACCTCATGAGCAATATTTATTTAAAAACTAGGTGGCTAGGTATCCCATAAACCCTCAAATATGAATGGGATAAAATCAACAACCCCCACAAGACCTATACTATGTGAGCATATGTGAAGGAAAAAGCAAAGGGATGCATGTACGAGGGTATATGATGCTTCTGAGAACAGGAATGCTCCAAAACAGCCCACAGTGAAATAGGAGGATATGATTTGAGAACAGCTACTGAAGCTGGTAGGGGTTTGCTCACTCTCCAGACCAAGGCTCTTTCCCAAGAAAGGATTCCGCACTCTTGGGAGCAGAATCAAAATTCAGCAGATCAGATAACAAAGACATTGAAAAAGAAGGTCCAGATAAGAATGAGGAGAGAAACAGAGATTCAAAATATCAGGAAGAAAACAGCCATATTTGTTTAAATGCATTAAAACAAAAGAGGAAGCTCTGCGGAGTTAGTTATCTAAACCAAGCCTCTTTCCTGAACAAAGTTCAAGAAAACAAATTTCAGCCAAAACTGGTTTGGCTCAGTGGATAGAGCTTCTGACAGCTGACTGAAAGGTCCCAGGTTCGATTCCAGTCAAGGGCATATACCTTGGTTGTGGGCACATCCCCAGTAGGGGGTGTGCACAAGTCAGCTGGTTGATGATTCTCTCTCATCGATGTTTCTAACTCTCTATCCCTCTCTCTTCCTCTCTGTAAAAAAATCAATAAAATAAAAAAAAGAAATTTAAAAAAAAGAAAAGAAAGAAAAAAAACATATTTCACATAAAAAATATAGAAAATAAAATTATTAATGCCAAATCACAAACAAAGCTATCATATGGAAAAGAAAAGGACAGAAAAACATTCTTGCAGCTAAAAAAAGCATGTCAGAAATACAAGTCCAGAAAACATGTCAAAACTATAACTGATTATTTTTTTAAAATTTTAAGAAAATGACAGTAGACATAAATGATAAAAAGAAACAACTAATAACAAAATAGTGACACAAATCAGAATTAATAAAACAGAAATATGGTGATAAAACTCAAGAAGGAATTAGAAATTTAAAAAGTCAAAGTAGAAGAAACACAAAAGTGAATAAATACAACATAATTCCTTAAGAAGAATAGATTATGAGAAGAATAGATTATGAGAAGAATAAAATTATAAACAAAAAAAGGAATGTAAGTGTTTCAAGAAAAAGTAATAATTATTACAGATAGTCAAAGAAGAACCAACATATATTATAAATATAGGAGTGCCTGAGAAATTAAAAAAAACCTAAAAACTAAAAACTATAAATTAAGAAAACTTTATTGAAATAAAAAATGATTTGAAAACACATATTGATAAAGCATGTCATGTACCTAATAAAATCAATCAACACTAAGACATACTCTAGTAAAATTACTGAAATATATGGAAAAAGAAAAAAACCTCCATGACATCTAGGCAAAAAGAACATGAGCCTTTTAAATAAAAGAAAATTAACTCATCAGTGTTTTGACAGCAATACTTTATATCAGAAAAATTAGAATAACATATTTAAAATACTCAAAAAAAGAAAATGTGTGCCCAAATAATTTTTATCCTCCAAAATGACATTCAATAATAAATGACACAGCCTTAGCTGGTTTGTCTCAGTGGATAGAACATTGGCCTGTGGACTGAAGGTTCTCAGGTTTGATTCCAGTCAAGGGCACATGCCTGGGTTGAGGGCTTGATTCCCAGTGGGGGCATGCAGGAGGCAGCCGATCAATGATTCTCTTTCATCATTGATGTTTCTCTCTCTCTCTCTCTTTCTCTCCCTTCCTCTCTGAAATTAATAAAAACATGTTAAAAAATAAAAAAAGAAAAAATAAGCACATTTAAAAATAAAAAGAATAAAATACACAAATAGTAAAAAACATACAAGAATGAGGGCAGATTTTTCCTTTGAGCTCTTTCTCAGGAACCTACTAGAAAAGAAACTCAGATAACAAAATGTCTGAAACTTATTAACATAAGAACCTGTGGTAAACATTTAATATAGTTTATCTTTAGAACCACAACTAAATAAAGATTGAAGTGGTAAAGTATAGTTAAACAGTGGCTATATGTTCTGACAGTGTAGACCACAACCATAAAAGGTGGGGGAGAGAATAGTGATAGCATATGATTCTCCCAAATATATTTGTTTTTCTTGGAGGTGATAGTATTATTAATACTGACATTCTGAGACTGTCAGGTATGCAATGTGTGATAAACTAAATGAGCCATTATAGATCTTCTAATTCTGTACCTAGTGTTGGTAAGTACTAGAATTCTTTGTGAGGAAGACAGAAAATACAAATGTAATATAAAAATGGTTAAGCAAAATTCTGTAGTCCTGAATTTGAACTAAATGCCAGCGTGAATTTATGATGAATTTTATCTTTAACACACTTACATGCATACATATATATTTTCCTTCATCTGCTCACTGAAAAAGCTTAGATACAATGTCAACCTAAGAGCGATAAATATCCAGAGGCCCAGATTGTACTCTTGAAATATTACTTTCCACTAAAAGAAATTAGAGCTTCTTG